CGGACTATCAGTGTACATGTATACATTAAAAAATAAATGTATTTTTCATCATCATATACTGTGTTTTTGTCGCTCGAATGAATTTTATTATTTCTTCAAGGTTCTTCACATACGTACACCTTAAGAGATATCAAGTAGGCGTAACATGTCCTCAAAAAATTAGGGTTGGCACGCAGAAGAATTTTGAGTCAGAGATTTTGCTGGTTTTGGCACGCACTCACAAAAAGGTTGCCCACCCCTGTTCTAGGGTATGAGTCTAAAAAGCAACATTACAGGCCATTATGGTGATAGAATTGTTCTGTATCCTGACGGTATCAGTGTCAATACCCGGGTTGTAAACATATTCTATAATTTTGCAAGACACTTATTGGGGGACACTACGTAAAGGGTACATCTGATCTCTTTGTATTATTACCTAAAATCCATGTAAATCTATGATTATCTCAAAATAAAAAAGTTAATTTAAGCAAACAAACACCAATATTAATTTGTTTCCCATACACCAAAACAACCAGTTGTATTATTTAAAATGTTTCCACTTATTTGAGTATTACTGCTAGGAAATCTTTTCATACAGGTAGCATTTTGTTCTATTTCTTCTGACAGAACCTTTGCCCATTTTTCTATTCAGTTGCCTTTTTCTTATTAACATAGAGGAACTCTTTATATCATGGACATTATTGCATTGTATATGCTGTCTATATGGCCCTAAGATGAAAGCTGATTTTCAAATTCTATTCATCAAATTTCAAAAATCTCAGCAAGTGAATTTTGTTTCATCAATGTAGGCCCAGATATGTGAGGTCTGCACTAACATAAGCCCCAGTGGGGTGCACAGACCACCTTAACTTTGCTTGATCACTGCACTTGAATCCTAGAGAAGGCAAGTAACTGACTCAGATCTGAACTACAGTCTATCTAATACCAACCCCATGAAATATTATTTTTAATGTGTTATATTATTTTTAATACCACTTATGCTAACTGCATATACAGGTGTTTGCATAGGATCAACATTGTTCTTATAAATAATACTGACCATAGCTAATTTATTGGCCAATCCAAGTAAATACTACATACGTTATCACATACATTCATTGTCCCGTTTAATCCTCACCAAAACTCTTAAGAAATGGGGACATTATAATTATTTCCATTTTGTGAATGAGGAAACAAGTTTAAATCAGTTAAATAACTTGTCCAAGGTCACAGAGCTAATAAGTGGCAAGATTGGCTCAAAGCCAGCTGCCTGAGCACCAGAACTCTATGAAAATGTTAGGTTTCAGGAGATACTGGGGGACTTGCTACAGATCAGAACTCTTAATGAACAAAAATTGGTTCAAGGTCGCATATCCGGAAGGAGGTGAAATTGCAATTAAATCTTGGTTTGCGCCGTAGCCGGTTTGGCTCAGTGGATAGAGCGTTGGCCTGCGGACTCAAGGGTCCCAGGTTCGATTCCGGTCAAGGGCATGTACCTTGGTTGCGGGCACATCCCCAGTGGGGAGTGTGCAGGAGGCAGCTGATCGATGTTTCTAACTCTCTATACCTCTCCCTTCCTCTCTGTAAAAAAATCAATAAAATGTATTTAAAAAAAAAATCTTGGTTTGCTGTGATGGGGACAAGGGACTCCACCTTGAGCCTGTTGTTTCTTTTTGAACAGAACTCTCATTCTAACCAACTGTTTTATAACTAAGTCTTATCTCAACACTCTTACCAAAACACTATGCCCACTACTTGGTGTGGACTGGGCATTTTCTCCAGCCCTGATAACTGCCAGGAGGTGGGAAATTCAAAGAAGGGATAATTACAAAGCCCTTCACATGAGCAAGAGAGATACAGAAATTTCTAACGTCAGCAGGTTTGTTGAAAACCTCAAAATAATTTTATTTCCAGATAATGTCAGAGCAGAAACAAAAATAGCTATCTGATCTATGAAACACATAAAGGTTAATTCATGCACTTTCCCTCGGGGGAGGAGAGGTGGTATATAGGGGATTTTAAACTTATAATTAATTTTTATCCCAGTAATATATGCAAAAAACTGAACAGTGGTAAACATTTATAATAAAATATAGCTGTTTCTTGTCCCCAAAGACCAGACTTGGACTGGATGACGACAGTCCCTCTGAGACTGCCCTTGGTGAGGTGGAAGGCATGAAGTGTGGGAACCGACCAGGCCTGGATTCTAGTCCCACTTGGGTACTTACCACATGGGTGACCTTGGGCAAGTGGCTTTCCCTCCCCAAATGGTGTTATGCTCCATAATGAATGTGTGACTGTGGGCCCTCTGGGACTGTGATGGGGAATGATGATAAAGTGACTGAGTGCCTAGCTCAGGGAGGGTGCTGAGCAAATAGCCACTTCTCCTCTAATTGTGCAGGCAGTCTGACAGCAAATCCTTGCTGGGAATTGATGGTGGTGGCATTGGCGGTGGGTGGACACAGTTCCTTCCCTCATGATGTTTCAGTGTAGTGGGAAGGCAGGCAAGAAGGTGGTGATGAAGTGTGATCACCTCTATGAAGAGGAAATAATGAAACCATACTCACGTGTGAGCACCTCTGGCATGTGACTGAAACCTGTGCAAGTGGGTCAGTCTCTCTGAGGGCCGTGCTTTCAATATGATAATGTCTAGAGCTGCCCTGTCCAATACAGTCACCCTGGTCACATGTGGCTATATTTGAAGTATGGCTAGTCTCAATAGCAATGTGATGTAAGTGCAAAATACTTACCAGATTTTAAAACCATTAGTATGAAAAAGGAAATGTAAAATCTCAATAATTTTTGTGTCAATTCAATGTTGAGATGATAATTTGGAAGCATTGGGTTTAATAAAATTGGGAAGCCCTTTATAAGGTCCAAAAATGACTACTCAGTTCCAAAGCCTAGTTGAGGGTCTGAATTAAATGTTCCATTTAAGCTTTTTTAAAAAAAATATGTTTTTATTGATTTTAGAGAGAGGAAGGGAGAGGGATAGATAGAAACATCAATGAGAGAGAAATATCGATGGGCTGTCTCCTGCACGCCCCTTACTGGGGATCAAGCCTGCCACCCCAGGCATGTGCCCTGACCGGGAACCAAACCAGTGAAGCTCACAGGCCAATAGGCTGAAGATCAAATGAGCCCCTGACTATGGTATGTCTGGCACAGGGCCAGGACCTTGCTGCCTGCCTGTCTCAGTCCAAGTCTGGACCAGCAGTTCCTGTGACAACCACACAGGGGCGCCCCAAAGCTTCCATTGAAGAAACGGTTCCTCTAACCAACAACCCCAGTCATTCCAATTTGCTTTGCCTGCTGCTCAACCAGAGCCTGGAGGAAAACCCTTTAGGAAGGAGTGATGGCTGCCCACCCTGAGTCTACCCAGAAGGCATCTGCTCTAGGTTTGGTAACCTGGAGAGAAACAGTGGACACTTCAGATAGGTAAATTTCTGACCTGGGGTGGTCTACCTGCCCAACTGCTGATTGGCCTCAAGTTATTCTTCTGATTTCCCTGGCTTCCATTTCCTCACTAAAAGGAAGCTGGTGGGAGTGCCTATAAACCATAGTCTGAGCTGCACATGCATGTCAAGACTTACCTATCCATTTCTCTCACCTCCCAGCTCCTGACAACCATCATTCTACTCCTGTTTCTCTGAGTTCCATATTTTTAGATTCCACATATAAGTGAGATCATACAGTGTTTGTCTTTCACACATTTCACATATGAATCACACAGATGGATTTCACTTACATTAAAAACACACACTTGCTTGTCTGGCGTGGCTCAGTGGTTGAGATTCGACCTATGAACCAATAGGTCATGATTATTTCCCAGTCAGGACACATGCCTGGGTTGCAGGCTCAATCCCCAGTGGGGGGCATGTAGGAGGCAGTGATAAATGATTTTCTCTCATCAGTGATGTTTCTATCTCTCCCTCTCCCTTCCTCTCTGAAATCAATAAAAGTATATTTTTTAAAAACCGCACATACTAATGAGCCCACACAGGTGAGCTTTAGAATATGACCCCATTAACCCAGTTTAGGAATTATTGGGAGCCATGAGTGGCTGCATCAGACACTTGGACAATAAATGTAACCAATTTTTTATCTGACAACTCTCCTTAAATTTGGCTCTAAAGTCATCAGGCTTATGAAATACATTCTCCTCCTTGCCCCCCCCCCCACACACACATTTTAAACAAACTGTTGTTTATAGTTTGTATTGCTATCCTTTGTTCACATAAGCTGTTTTTCTGGCACCAAAGCAAATTTGGGTTTGGTTCATGTATAAAGAGACAGCCTATGAGGAGGGTCCAAAAGGCACCCTCCACTTAAGCCTGAGGAGATGCAAAAACATAAATAACGGGGTCTATGCTTTGGTCACAGACGGGGTTTCAGAGGATCCTTGTGAAAGACAAGTTAAAGATGACAAGTGGGGACAAGTGCAAGAAGAGAAGGAAATTAGTCTGACTGGCTTTCTGTCCTGCACCACTGATTCACTGGAGATTGGCGGGAGGGCATGGAAGATGGGTTGGGCGTGGGAAGTGGGACAAAAGATGGAAAAGAAAAGACAGACAACTAATGCATTTCACTTATAACAAGCAATAGAAATCAAAGACTTAAAGATTAAAGGCCAATCAGAATAATTTGGCAACTTTAATTCTTAGGAAGATCAAAGTTCCCTCCAAACCTAATTTGATGTTTTATTACTAAAAGCAAAGACCAGTATGGTACAGTATTACTCCAGAGGAATTAAAGGAAGATCTTTAGGGCTGTTTCACCCACATTCATTTTATGAATGGATACCTCCCCTACCTCAAAATGCATTAGGGAGGTACTGCTACCATTACATGGTTCCTTATTAAGTTTGAAAAGTGCCTGAAATTTTGGGCACCAGAAAGACACCCCAACAACATGTGTCTTAAACTGCAACTTCAGGTTAATTTGACTAAAGCAGTTACATTGTGAGAAGTGCTGAAGGTCTGTGATGTCTTTCCTGGTACAGAAGTGGCCTTGGTTCTTCATCAGCTGGTGTAGCCACCATCTGTACCACCCATGAAGAAGTTCTCCTTCCGCTGAGTTACGAGGACATTGGCTCCCTGCATGTCTGCAAGCTGAGCAGCATTGGGAGGGCATCCAGGGGGTGGAGGAGGAATGTTGCCAGCAGTAGCCGCAGCTCCAAATCTGGCACCTGCATCATACCTGCCTTCCACCAGCACAGGTGGTTGAACAGGCGGATAGATGGGGCCAACTGGGTAATAAGCCATGGGGATTGTGGAGCCTAAAGGTCCAACAGCCACAGATTGGGCCATGGGAAGATACAGTGAGGCGCCAGGAAATGCTGCTGACATGGTGGGGACAGTGGCAGCCTCTGGGTGCACAAAGCTTGGACAATGGAGCTCTGAATAGGCAGATGGAGCATCCGTATAGGGTGGAGCCTGAGGGACATGCATTTTTTTCATCCTCTTCCTGTTCATAGTCATGTGCTGGTTCGTTCTCTAGCGTTACCAGATGCCAAGTCTGTAATGGAGTTTTGATTGCTATTGGCCCATTCGTGCTGGAGCCTCAGGCTGGCTGACAGTGAGGCTCAACCCCAAACACAGCATGCAGGCTTTCGTGTAGGTGCTGATCACACAAAGCACAAGTAGCAGACATCACTTCAGCAGGGTTTGGTGCCTGCCAATATCTCCCTGGGGATGTGCTACTTGTGAAGCTTATTGGGTCCTGCTCTGTTGTTGTCTGAAGCTGGCCACTGGGTGTATTGGTTCTGGGACTCTTGGGAGGGACTGGGTGCAGGTCAGTGTCAGATGCTGTCTGTGCCAAGCCCTGAGCAACCTGTTTGGAGCTACCGGTATCAGCGATCCACAACTTGTGGTCCTGGGTGTGTATGGAAAGGACCAAGCTGGGCACCAAGGTCTGCTTTTACCAGCCCTAGGTCCAGGAATAGGTCAGGCAAAGACTCAAAGCACCCAGAGATCCGCCTCTGCCTACAGGCTCTCTAGTAGTTTCAGTCACGTAATCAGCCTCTAGCTATATGTCCTCAGCAGAGCATAAGCTCCACACGTATTCCAACGGGTGAGGCTATTGCTTCTCCCCAGGCTAATGCTGGATGAATGGGAAAGGTCTGCTTGAGAGAGATGGTTTCTGCAATATGGGGGAATGACTCAGCACGGGATCCCAGCTGCTGACTCTCAGCTCTCTCCCCAGAACCACCAACTGCAGACTCTCCTCACACAGCTCTAGAGCACTACTCTGCCTTCCCTCTTCTGGAGCCCAAGGTGAGTGGCTGCAAATGCAATTTTTCACGTTGGCTCTTTAAGAGGTTACCTTGGTTTCTAGTCATCTCTCCCTGGCGGATAGAAACCCCGCTGCTTTTCACAGCCAGATATTATGTAGGCACCTTTCCCAGTTCTGGTGCTCTGGGCTAAGGAACCCAGCTTGGGGTTTAGACCTCAGGCTTTTCAGGGGGAACCCCCTGCAGCTGAAATATACCACTGGACCTTCAGCTGCTGCCTGTGGGAGCCCAGCCAGCCCTCTAGCCTCCACACTTCCTAGCAGTCTCAACTTGGGCTCCTCTAAGTTCTTGTGTTGTGGGCGGCAGGAAAGGCACCAGGTGTTAGACTGGTGAGGCCAGACTGGAACTGGGTTCAGCATTCTCGTTACTTGAGCTCTGGTTAGGAAAGAATTCAGAGCCAAGACTCAAACTATAAGAGAACATTTATTTATAAATCACAGAGGTATGCCCTAGCTCAGTGGTCGGCAAACTCACTAGTTAACAGAGCCAAATATCAACAGTACAACGATTGAAATTTCTTTTGAGAGCCAAATTTTTTAAACTTAAACTATATAGGTAGGTACATTGTTGTTAACTTAATTAGGGTACTCCTAAGACTTAGGAAGAGCCACACTCAAGGGGCCAAAGAGCCACATGTGGCT